TGCAGGAGTATCCTGGGAGCTGCTGTTAGGGTAAAAAGGCAAAAATTTATGTCAATTTTGAGTGGACATACTTTTCTAGTAAGGGAATAGGACATGAGAGAATGAGGAGAAAAAACCTTGAAAACTGACCAATCCCTGAGCAGAAAATAAACTAACCAATCACAGTTGACTCCACCCCCTAGACATCCTATATAAACTGCCCTACCCAGTCAGTTGTGAGCTGTTCTCTCCACCCTGGTAGAGGCAGCTACTCTCCTGGACTCCTTCCTAAATAAACCTCTTTCTCAAAAGAGTATTGGGTGAAGACCTTCATTGACAGCTGAACAGAAGAGCCTTGCTGGGACATCCCATAGTGGACTGAGCAAGGGGGAGCTGAACAGAAGAGCCTTGCTGGAATGTCCTATAGTGGACTGAGCAAGGAGGAGCTGGACAGAAGAACCTTGCTGGGATGTCCTGTAGTGGACTGAGCGAGAAAGAGCTGGTAACACTGAGCCAGAGATTGTGGCTTTCCAGGAGAGGAGCAGGATTGCTGTGTCCTGTGGGGAAGCCATCCCCCATCATACCATCATACCAGGTATATCCTGACCTTCCCAAAGAGTCAGGATACCCTGACTTTTCCAAAGAGTCAGGATACCCTTCCTTGCTGAAGTAGTTCCAGGCCTGACTCTCCGGAGAAGTCAGAAAACCTTCCTTTCCAAGGTTGGGCTGCTTCTTTGCAGTCTCAGCCATCAGAGCTGTGCTAAACAGCTTCAGGTGTCCAGGATACCTTCAGGGCAGAGCTCTTGTCCTAAGTAGCTCTGAGGTGTCTGGGATACCTCGCCCTCTAGGGTTGAACTGTCTCCTCGTAGTTTCAGCCATCATTTTACTAACATTTTGGTGCTGAAACCCAGGACACCAAACCCAGAGCTTTTGCAGTTTACTTACACTCTTTCCTTCAGCCTCTTTGTCTAGTCCATGCCACTGTATGGGCTACCACCTCTCATCTACATGCTACAAAAGTAGACAAAGTCAAAGCAGCATGTAGACAAGATGTGATTGTAATTGCTACCACTGATGACATCACATTGTGAGGAACTTTCTTAAATGTTAGAACCTTATCCTCCTTGTCATTGTTTACTGTGGTGCTTGGGATCAATTCCAGAGCTTCAGCCACACTATGAACCTGCTCTACTCCAAGGTGACAGCCGTGTCCTAAACACAGAGCTTAACTGTTTATCCTCCTCCTTTTGTTTTTAGAGATTTGGGGGTTTTTTTTGTTTTTGTTTTTTGGTGCAGGGTTTGTCCTGGTCTTTCTGTGGTATCCCTTGTTCTTTTGTCTCCACAATTTAACAAAGATCCCCACTAGTAAACAAGGAAGGGCAAAACCAGGTAGAATTCTCAGCCTGGGAAAAGGAAGGCAATTACCAGTGTATTTTATATTTTCTATCATCTTCTCCTGCTGGTTTGCTCCATAAACCTATCAAATCTAGGGGAAATATTTGTAGATTCACATCTATAGTAACCCAGGAAATAAATGACGTCACAGAGGGACCACAAAGCTGGAGCCCTTCCTGCTTCCCCGGTTGCTTGCTTTCTTTCCTGAACTACATGCTAGTAGGTCTCAACTATGCCGAGTCTGAATTTAACATTGAGAGCTCAGTAGTCTGCATCTCCAAATGGGCTTCAGGTGGACTTAGCTTAGTTTGAAAACAGTGCTCACCTTCTGCAGAAGAAGCTAAAGGTATTTCATTTCCTGTTAATCATAAGAGACACAGGTGTGAGCCTGTTGAGCAAAGAGTAACACTCCCTGGTTGGAAGCACACGTATGGGTGGAGGAGTGTGAGGGAGGCAGTGTGCTGTGTAGATGTCTTGTGCTGAAGTTATCATGTGTAACAGGCTGCATTTGAAAATATCATTACACATTTGTATTTCTACATATGTGATCCCTTCTCTAATGTCCATCAAATCAGGATTGTAAACAAGTGTTATTTGAAGTCAAGCTATCTAAACTCCAGCAAACCTGATATCTCTATAGGTTTAAGGTAAGTGGTAGTTTGAATGTAATTTGCCCCCATAAGCTCATAGGGAGGGGTATTATTAGGAGATATGGCTTTGTTGGAGTGGGTATGGCCTTGTCTGAGGAAGTGTGTAATTGTGGGAATGGGCTCCTTAGTTTAAAATATGTTCAAGATATGTTCAGTATGACACACATTTCACTTCCTGTTGCCTATGGATCAGTATGTGGGTCTCTCAGCTTATATACACTCAGGCACCATGTCTGCCTGAGTGCTGCCATGTCTGCTCCATGATGATACTAAGTCAAACCTCTGAAACTGTAAGCTACCCCCAATGAAATGTCTTCCTTTGTAAGAGCTTATGTGCCCATGGTGTTTATTCACAGCTATTGTAACCACAATTTAGAAAGAAATTGGTACCAGGACGGGGGTATTGCTGTGGTAGGCCTGACCATGTGCAGACACTTAGTCTCAGTCCTCTCTCCTGCAGACCACTGCACTACTGAAGCCCTGTAATGACCCTGACATTGCCATCTAGGATTCATTCATAACATTGACCATGGAACATGGCTGTCATCTTCACAGAAAGGGAAACTGAGGACTGCACAGAGAGCAAGGTTTTCTCTCCCATGGCTTCTTGCTGCCAGTCTCTTAGCAACTCTGTGGATAGTCATAGCACCCTCACAAAGAGGGTGCAGGTATATACGTTGTACAGGAAGGGAAACCGTGCTTCAAATTTAGAGTAAGTTAGCCAAGGTTTTACAACCATAATGCCACCTGGTTTGGGGGGAGCTGCTGTGTCACATGATATACACAGGGGCAGCCTTTATCTCTAAAGGGTCTGTGGTCATCACCAGGCCACAATGAGGACACTGAGGCTGAAACAGAGACTCTGTCCCCACTTCCCTGCTGCGTCTCAGAGGCCATTTCCTGTGCCCTCACTTTCATTTACCACACAAAGCAACTGTCCCCAGTTCTGTAGCCCTGCCCCTGGCTCTGCCTCTTTCTAACAATCTAACTTGAGGAATTCTAGTCAACCTTCCTGTTCCAGAAAAGAGGTTCTTGTTCCAGGGGCCCCTTCCTTTTTTCTTCTTCCATGGACAGACCATATTTTCAAGACTAGGCATAGAAGTCAGCTCCATTCTGTGGCTGCTGCTTAGGGAATAAGCTATGTGGGATGTATACCATGTATGCAGTGTTAGTTTATGAGGCAGGATGCTTTGGTCAATTCGTAATTCTTCCTCACCTGCTCACAAGTCAGGTGTCTTTTATGAACCTCAGGCTCATCTCTAAAGGGAAGAAGTGATGTCTCTCCAATAGCACATGGTTAGGGAGAAAATGATATACTGGAGATGTGGCACATAGCACATTGTATTTTGATCTCCTCCTTACATGTACTTTCTCATCCAGGGCATCCTTAGGGCAAATGACACAGCAGATGAAATATCACTGCAAGGCTATAGATTGCATCTTATCTGAGCCCCTTGCTGGTTGGGGTTGCCTAGACATTGCATTACTTCAGTGTCCTTATTTGTGACATCTATCGAGTTAGGATGAAGCCGTTCTCTCTGTCCCTCTCCATCGAGGGATTCTGAGAAGTCTTGCTACAGCTGCACACCGGTGAGCAAAGGGTGATATCTTTATAAACTAGTTCACCCTGAGACTCAACAGGCCCTGACCACAGGGTGTGTACCTTATGGTCAGGACTGTGGTTTTATGAGATCATCCACTGTGGCACCACTTGGGTAGTGACAAAGTGAAACACATGAAATGTTCCTGGTCTGGGATCTGAATTAGTGTATCTGTAGCTGTTGGAATATGATGCTTTGTTTACACAGGGGAACAGTTCTTAGTTCTGACATGGAGTGAGGGTGTGGCTGACATTGGGGTAGCTTTCCCATCACTACTATTAGCATCTAACTGTTAGGAACATTTTGCCACCTTGGGGAGCTGATGATGAAAGGAAATTCTGGCTGAGTTTGAGCAATTTTGACTCAGCATTTCTTATGCATCAGGCTTCTCAATGGAGATAGAATCAGATGTGGGTTCCAGGACAGATCTCAGCAACAACTGACTACATGATCACAGTCAGGGCACTAGAACACAGAGCTAAAATCTCAAAGAAGACTGGACTAGGTAGTCTGACTGTCCTTCATGCTGAAAAATTCTCAGAATCTAGACCTAAAAAGAAGACTTCAGGCCTCTGTCAGGAAATTCAAAGTGAGTGTCCTGTTGCCTCAGCTGGGGATTGGAGGTCATCCAGTTGGAGACTCCCATAGACATAAGCCTACATTGCTCAGAACCTTCAGTGTCTGAGAGAGTTGGTACCTGACACAAAACTTTTTCAGACAGATCTAAGGCAAAAGCCTAGCTTGGTGCCAGCATCTAAACCAGGTGAGAGATTCCACAGGGAATGTGGACACATTGTGAATGCTCCCAGTGTGCTGTGGATGAAGAGGAAATGAGAAAACCAAGCCACCATGCCCTGGCCCTGTTACTTTCTGCTGTGGTTTGTTTTTCTTCTTGGGAGGAGGAGACAGACATCTTGAGTAAAGAGGTTCTACTGGCCTGCTTACTGCCATCTCTATTGACAGCTAGAGTGGAATCTGACATATACTCAACCCAGGTTGTATGAGGAGAAAGAGAAGACTTAATCAGTAGGGGAAGTACACTCTGGAGGCAGTCGGCCAAGTCTGACTCTGTCACTGAACAAGGCAGTCAGCTCTCAGGGTTTTATGGAGGCACTAGCCTGAGACAGATTGAGAAAGGTAAGGACTGCTGGGCAGACAGACCAGGGTATGGATTTACCCCCATTTGCCAGAAGGGGGAATTCTAGCAAATAGAATGTCCTCTCCCCTCCTCTGTTTCCTTGGTCCACAGTTGGCGTGGACCCTATGAACATGGGGGGTCACTTGCAGACTTCTTTCTGTTGCTCACAGAATCTGGGGCACATTTTGACCTGTTGGAGATATCAGGGATGAGGAGGACAAAGCAGTCAGTACTTACCAAGCACATTCAGCACTGTGCCTCCCCCAGACTTAAGCTCCTTGTCAGAGTCTGCTTTCTGGAACTTCACACAGTAGTAGGTTCCAGCATCATCAGGTGTGACATTACTGATGCGGATGGAAAAGTCCAGGTTGTTTCTCTTTGTAACATCTGTAACATTTGTGACTCTGGGGAATCGCTCTCCTGTAAAACTATATATTAGGTGCCGACTCTGCGCTGTACCCCTGAACCACTTCACGGGCCCCACAGGGACCAAGGAGGTCACGGTGCAGTTCAGAGTGGCTGAGTCTCCAGCAGAGACAGAAACTGATTTCTCAGGTTGAATCACCTTCAGCTCCCGAGTAGCTGCTCCTGCAGGAAACATCAGTTAGTGCTCATCACAATGGGAACCCACAAGCTTTTCAAGGTTGTGATCAAACACTGTTTCTTACTAGAGCTCAGCATGATGTGATCACGGTCTCCTCAATTGCACCTCTTAACAAAAGAATGTAACAGACAAGGAAACTGAGTCACAGAGACACTGAGAACTTGGCAGTATTTTGATTGAAGCCCCAATTCTTTTTGGAATTCTTATGTTTCATGCAGTATCTGTTTGGTTTTCATCTTCTGTGCACATGGCATATGGCACTTCTTAAATAATTGTATTGGATGTGATGACCTGACTCTTTTAGAACAGTGAGATGTGAACTTAGTGCTTTGTACAGTTGAGATATACATTTTATTACAAGTTTCTCTGGGTCAGGCCCCCAGTTCTTGATGGGATTGCTTTATTAGGTAGAGTTATAATGCCATAGATAGCTCCCAATATGCAATAACATGCACCTTAATTAGCTAAATGAAACCTTGGCTTAAATTACCAGTTTTTAAAATATAATAATTACATTAATTAATTAACTAATTAATTATATGTATGTGAGTATTTTGCTTCTGTGCATGCCTGGTGCCCAAGGCACCCAGAAGAGAGTGTCAGATCCCCTGGAACTGAAGTTACTGAAGATGGTTGTGAGCCACCATGTGGTTATAAGATTGAACGTATGTCCTATGGAAGAGTAGGAAGTGCTCTTAATCCCTGAACCGTGTCTCCAGCCCCAGCGTTATACTGACTTTAAGGATGTAACAGATTGCTATAAGTAAGCGGTTTGACACAACAGAACTGTTTATTTCATGCTTTCGAGGTCAGAAGTTTCATTTTAACTTGGTGGGCCAGGCAGTTAACATGGTGTCCCAGGACCCCACTCTCCAGGAGGACCGGCTTTGTTTGTTGTATATGGTGTGGTCACCGAGGGTTCTGTCCCTTGTCACTTGTCTTCCCATCACAGCACCCTGTTTGCTCAGTAACTCCAAGTCCCACAACTCTGACACTTCTGACCCATTTTTGCCTGGATTTTGGTAATCTGGGAGGACTGCACTGTGCTACACTGTACTACACTACTGGACCAAGACTGTACAACGTTCATTTGAGATATGCAACGAACAAATGGAAATTCACTAAAGAAAGTCAAGAGTCTGAATAGCAAAATATGAAGATAAATGGAGATAAACTATAAGAAGGAATCTAATGGAATTGGGGAGTAGAGAACCACATAACTTATTAGTTCAATAGACAGGGTCCACAGAGGATTTTGGAGGTTACAAAATAAAAATCTAAATAATAGAAATGGATAGAGTAACATTACTCAGCAATGCAGGGGTAAGGAGAGAATAAAGAGAGAAATTGAAGAATTTGGAGTATAGAGACAAGATTATTGGAAAAAATGTCTCACACCTTCTTGTTTTGATAAAATGTAAGAACTATAATTCCAACACACTGAAATAATTCAATGTGAGGTAAACTCAGAGAGACCCACACCAGCACACACTAGAATCCAACAGACAAAAGAGGAGTAACAGAGAATACTAAGAGCAGCCTAGAGCATGACTCATCTTCTTCAACATCAAAATGATATGAATACAGTCCTTATCAAAAATGGAAGCTTCCAAGGGCAATGAGATAGTGTGTGTGTTCACAGTTCTTAAAGAAAAAAATACACCCAGAATTTAAATAAAACCAAGGATTCCTCACATGACAACACTTTGGGAACAATATAGGAGAGAAGACACGCTATTCTCTTTTTCTTTTAATATTTTTTTAAACTTAATTTCACATATCAGCCACGGATTCTCCCGTCCTCCCTCCGCTCACCCCCCCAGCCTTCACCCCCAAAATAGTCCCCCCCATTCCCACCTCCTCCAAGGCAAGGTCTCCCCTGGGGAGTCAGCCCAGCCTCTTAGACTCAGCTGAGGCAGGTCAAGTCCCCTCCTCTTTACACCAAGACTGAGCAAAGTGTCCCAACATAGGCCCCAGGCTCCAAAAAAGCCAGCCCAGGCACCAAGGACAGGTCCTGGCTCCACTGCCTGTGGGCCTCCCAAAGAGTTCAAGCTAATCAACTGTCTCACTTATCTAGCGGGCCTGGTCCAGTTTCTTGGGGGCTCTTCAGCCATTGGTTCATAGTTCATGTGTTTCCACTAGTTTGACTATTTGTCCCTGTGCTTTTTCCAATCATGGTCTCAATATCTTTCCCTCATACAATCCCTCCTCTCTCTCACCGATTAGACTCCTGGAACTCCACCTGGCGCCCTGCCGTGGATTTCTACATCTGCTTCCATCAGACACTGGATGAGAGTTCTATCATGACAGCTAGGGTGTTCAGCCTTCAGATTACCTGAGCAGGTCAGCTCAGGCCCTCTCTCGACCATTGCCAGTAGTCTACAGTGGAGGTATCTTTGTGGATTTCTGGGGACCTCACCAGCACTCTGCTTCTTCCTATTCCCCTAGGGTCTTCATTCATCATGGTATCTCTATCCCTGTTCTCCCACTCTGCTCCTAATCCAGCTGGGACCTCCCGCTCCCCTAAGCTCTCTTTCCCTCTACTCTTGCCCTCCATTACACCTCTCCCCCCCACACACACAAGTTTGCTCATGTAGATCTCATCCATTTCTCTGTCTTTGGGCAATCCTGGTGTCTTTCTTAGGGTCCTCTTTACTAAGTAGCCTCCCTGGAGTTGTGAGTTGCAGTCTGGTTAACCTTTGCTTTACATCTAGTATCTACTTATGAGTGAGTACATACCATGTTTGTCTTTCTGAGTCTGGGTTACCTCACTCAGGATAATTTTTTCTAGTTCCATCCATTTGCCTGCAAACCTCATGATGTCATTGTTTTTCTCTGCTGAGTAGTATTCCATTGAAGACATGTATTCCTAATCAAAAGCTTGAGTTCATTATAATGATACCTACCATGCAAGAAATACTAATGGCTTCCCTTGGGTTGAAATAAAAAATGACAAAGATAAGGCTCAGGTGCAAAAAACAACACAAAGTGCTGTGGGATGGTCTGTATGTCAAATGTGTTGCTCTGATTGGTCAATAAATAAAACACTGATTGGCCAGTAGCCAGGCAGGAAGTATAGGTAGGACTAACAGAGAGGAGAATTGAGAGAACAGGAAGGAGAGGAGAGACATTGTCAGCCGCCACCATGACAAGCAGCATGTGAAGATGCCGGTAAGCCATGAGCCACGTGGCAAGGTATAGATTTATAGAAATGTATTAATTTAAGCTATAAGAACAATTAGCAAGAAGCCTGCCATGGCCATACAGTTTGTAAGCAATATAAGTCTCTGTGTTTACTTGGTTGGGTCTGAGCGGCTGTGGGACTGGCGGGTGACAGAGATTTGTCCTGACTGTGGGCAAGGCAGGAAAATTCTAGCTGCAATAAAATTTGGCAGTATAGTGAATTTTGAAATTTCATAAAGCATCCTGAGCTCCCAGCTTCCACTTAGCTGTTGGAAATGGTGGCTCTAATCTTCCACTTCAGTGGTTCCCATTAACAGACTTAGGGAAGGGCACACATCAGGAGCTGCTGGGAAGGACAGCTTCCTAGATAACTTAATCCAAAAGCAAAAAGGAACCTTGGAGAAGTTAAAACCTTGTGTAATAACTAATATCATATCTAGAAAACATGTGGATAGTCTTAGAATACTTCCTGATTAAAAAATGAACAGGGAATATAATGGGAATGAGTTAGTTTATGTAAGCTTACAAAGTAATTTGTATTTTGGCATTGGTTTGTACACAAAATATGTAACTAATTTACTCAAAGTTATATAATTTATCTCAACTGGAAATCCTAAATATACATATCAAATTTACAGACTAAAATTTTTGTAACAAAAAAATTAAAAAACCTAATTAGCTTTTGTACTAAGATATTATATGTACAGAAGTTGAATAAATGAAGCAACTCTCAAAAATTTGTGAACTGCTTTAGTTCAGTTTTTAAAAAGCAGAATGTTAATTTCTAATTTTATTAAGCACTGGATCCTATAATATTGAGACAAGAACAAAACTCTAAGTGTGGAAACAGTACTTATGACTTGCTTTCCCAGTAGGCTTGCCTAAACATGACATATATGTTCATTTTGCATCCATTCCTCTGAAAAATCTAACATAATGAATAATACACTAACATGAAATATTTTAACATTTATAAAGTAGTTTGATAAATTTAATTCTATAAAGACAAAATGGGAAATGTGGGATATTTTAAGGTCATTGGTGCATGCCCAAGACCCACTTCATCTCTCAGAAAGAACTAAAGCAGTAGCCAGCTGGACTCTGAGGCAAAGTACTATGGGCAAGGGAAGGAAGTCATCAAGGGGCAGGGTGGTGGCACTAGCACCTTGTGATTCTGAGAAGAGACCACAGAAAACTGAACTAAGTGTCCTGGCCACTGTGGAATCTGCTTTACAGAGTGGATTTGAGAATCTCAGCTAACTCTGTGCATGGACTGTGTGATCATAGATAGAAGAAGCACCCAATACTTACAGGCTTTGGCTGATCTAGAGAGACCATCTGGAATCTATGCAGCAGCTTTGCTTGGAAGAAACTTCATCCATCTTCTCTGTTCTATCCCCCAGAAAGGCTACAGTAGCTATGTACGATCTAAGCAACATAAGTGTTTCTGGCTTTATACTGGTTGGGTTATAGAAGGTCAGACAGTCCATCATATCCTCATCTGTGAGTCCCACAGAAATCCCAGCACACCAGCACAGGGGTTGCAACCTCAATATTCAGCTTATTCAGCAGAAAAACAATAACAGCAACCCTTAAGCCTGTCAAGTGCCCCAAAGATATAAGATAAACGTGTTTCCACAAAGAGGAGAATAGAGCATGTTACACTAGAATAAAAGTGAAGGATGTTGGATCTCTTTTGTCAAAGCTTATGTGACCTTCAATCTGAGTTTTATGTTAATGGGAAGACTGGGAATTGGTGGACATGCAGTACTCTGCCCCGGGACCTATCTTAGTATGTTGCACTGCAAAGCTCT